AACTATTATCTCTGCAGGAGCAAGTCCAGTGGAATGTCAACAGGCCGAATGCGGGGCGGGAGGTCAGACTAAGAAGGAAATGCATGCTGATCGGGTCCATCCGCCCCAGAGAGCGTCCGACAACTGGTGTGGAGCGGGGAATTGCCGAGTGCGGCGGGCGGGGAGGAAACTGTACCGAGTAGTTTGTAGCACTATCCATGATGAAGACAAACGGTCGCTGGAAGTTCTTGTTACTCGATATCTTCATGCCAATGGCAGCGAAGATTATTACTATAGCAATACTCAACAGTCCCAAACCTTACTATGGAGCCCAATTGTCAATGCTCAGCCATACATACTGCAGTATGCTGTTGTTGTTCCGCGGGAAGGGCCTGCTACGTCATCTCATGAAAGCAGAACTTCCGAGTCCGTCGCTGCAAAATCCGAACAGGGAACAACCTTAGTTGGGGTCGGAGATTGCAACCAGTCTTTCTTTCATCTTATTGCTCATTGATTGACTGCTTGGGAACTTTCTGCCTGTTCCTTCGGGGCTAGCCTAGCCTCGACCCGGGGCGATCGGCGCACCCTCTTGTCTATTCTTTCTGTCTGTCTGTCTGTCTCTCAGTGGGTGGAAAGATTTCAGCTGCCCAGCTCTTGCATCTTTCCTGCGCAATCTCTACTTCCCTCACTCTGACAACTTACTTCTGGTTTCCAGTACTTCATAAGAGTACTGTTTCCATTGCTTGTCAGTCACTGACTGAGTCAGTCAGTCATTCTCCTCAGTCTAAGGTAAGTTTCCCCACACTCTATCCATGTGCTGATGCCGCGACTAAGACTCTCTCTCCCCACAAAACCAGACTCTTTTTTTCCCTCCAAGCGCAGTACATGCCTCCGAAGGTTTCCCTCTTATTTTCAGCTTCCATTCTCGCTCGCTCCCTACACCAGCGGCTTGTCCGCTCCATAAAATGGCGGAGTCCACCGTCCCCGAGCCCACGGGCCGCTCCTCTGTCCCCGAGCACAGTCTGACCGACGAGACGAAACATGCGGACCTGGAGAGCCAGAAATTACAGCCCGGGTCGAGCTCGGACTCTGAAGGGGAAGTGGGCAGACAAATTCAAATGGAGGCAGAGAACTCCATCAAGTATCGCACATGTAGTTGGCAAAAGGTGCGTGGCCGCAAAGCTATCACTGGGAAGTGAGTGAGTATTCGTGCTAATATGAGCCCTGGTCTCTAGACGGCGGCGCTTCTCTTCTCCGAGTACATCTGTCTGGCTATCATGTCGTTTCCCTGGTCCTACTCCGTTCTGGGGTTAGTACCTGGATTGATTCTGACAGTGTTTATTGCCATGACTGTGCTGTATACTTCGTTGATCATTTGGTACGTCACACAATTTCACGCGCGCCGCAGGATATAACTCACATATTCAGGCGTTTCTGTTTGCGACATCCTCACGTACGCGATGTGTGCGACATTGGACAGATGATTTTCTGGGATTCGAAGGTGGTCTGGTACTTGACGGCTGTCATGTTCCTGCTGAACAACACCTTCATTCAGGTAGAGACAATGTCGCACATCAGACCTTGCAAGCTCTGAAACTAATTGTCCCTAGGGCCTCCATTGTCTCGTTGGCGCAGAATATCTCAATACGATCACTGGACATGGAGCCTGTACAATTGTCTTCTCCGTTGTGACGGCGGTCATCTCATTCGTTTGTTCCCTCCCGCGGACCTTCGACGCGCTCTCCAAGGTGGCCACCCTCTCCGCGTTCACCACTTTCATCTCCGTTATGCTCGCCCTTATCTTCTCCGCTATCGAAGACCACCCGGCCGGCTACACTCCGGCCAAGGGCGACCCCATCGTGACCGCTGTGCCGGTGGCCGGTACCACCTTCGTCTCGGGCGTCAGCGCATTCCTCAACATCAGCTACACCTTCATCGGCCAGATCACGCTTCCGAGCTTCATCGCTGAGATGCGCGAGCCCAAGGACTTCTGGAAGTCCGTCACCGCCGTCACCATCGCCGAGATCATCGTCTTCTCCCTCGTCGGCGCCATCGTGTACGCCTACACCGGTAATCAATACATCACCTCGCCCGCGTTCGGCTCCCTCGGCAACGAGACTTACAAGAAGGTCTCCTTCTCCTTCATGATCCCCACACTCGTGTTTCTGGGCGTCTTGTACGCCTCCGTCTCCGCCCGCTTCCTCTTCTTTCGCCTCTTCGACGGCACCCGCCACAAGGGCAACCACACCGTCGTCGGCTGGGCCGCCTGGGCCGGGATTTTGTGTTGTCTGTGGATCGCCGCCTTCATTATCGCAGAGGTCATCCCCTTCTTCTCCGATCTAGAGTCCATCATGAGCGCCCTGTTCGACTCGTTCTTCGGGTTCATCTTCTGGGGTACGGCGTACCTGCGCATGCGCCGCGAGGAATACGGGCCGGGATTCTATAAGAATCGCGGGTGGAAGGGCTGGTTGGGTTTCATCGTGAACGTCGGGTTGATTCTCGCGGGGTTGTTCTTCTTGGGACCGGGTACTTATGTAGGTTCATATCCTCCTGCCTCCCCCTCTTTTTTTCTCGTCCCTCGTTTGCCCCGTCCTTGGAAGCGCGCAGTTCATCACCCATCACGCCTATTCTCCAAAACTTACACTCGAACAGGCCTCCATCGAAAGTGTGATCATCAGCTACCGAGAAGGAACAGTCGGGAGTCCATTCTCATGTGCGGACACAGGCCTGTAAAAATATAGCAGAAAGCGGATGCAGAGATGCAAAGATGCCGAAATGCAGAAGCTAACCCAACATGAACCTTTTTTAAGCTACTTCCACCCTTGAGTGGGTTATGACCTGATTCACCAGCCGCCCCCCGCCCCCACATATACAACAGCTGTTTGGTGTGTTTGGTGGGACTTTTTCGATTCAAATGGGTAATGCTGAAATGATGTCCATCCTCTCCCTTTTTTTCTCCCCTTTCTCTGTGTGTCTTCTTTGCTGGGGCGGCGAGCGAGGGGCATGAAGACAGAATGACGAACTATATTCTTTTTTTAATGTTTGCATGGAGAGTTTTGGGTATCACCCTTGGGTCTGCATTTCATGTTGCCTGAAAAAGGGGTTGAGAGACGCTCTTCCAACAAAAGATACGTGTATGATCGAACCCTTCTTCGGGCTTATTTCCCAGTGTATGCTGTGCGCATTGCAATGCAGTGCGGTACATTGTCCAACGATGAGACCAAAAAAACGTCATCATCTTCGTGAAAAGATAAGAGAAACCAAACGCTTCTGTCACCTCAAACTTCGAAGTAGATGCAGACTTCTACCAACTTGTTCATTTTCGTATTGGCCCTCCTCCCAACCCGGACCAATCTTGACGATGTCACCTGCCGGCAGCCGCGCCGGAGCTGATCAGGACCCCGCGTGAGGGTTAGAACTAAGGGATTTTTGGTCAGGTTTTGGATGCCGGGCCGCGTCGACTCCATAATGGTGCGCCGGGTCGGGCGATCACCAGATCCACACGCCGCCACGGGGTAAGCGCTCGCAGGTATCCGTGGTCTGCGGGACCAGTTGTCAATGGTACGAATAGCTCGTGGTGGAGAGGTTCGTGATCTCCCGCTCGGACGGTTAGGGCTAGTATACTTCGGTGGTCCCGCTGTAGGCGGGCAACACCCGTGCCCTATGTCACAGAAGAGAGCGAGTCGATACAGCAAGGGGATTTCCGGAATGGATGAATGGGCTTGGGGGGCATCAAGGTCGGATGGAGAGAGAGCATAGTAAAGCGCTATTACAAATGAAGGAAGGAGGCATGCAGTCAATCGCACGTCTTCAAAGGGCCATTTTGCCAATTCGCCCGTAAATAGTATAGTGTCTTCCGCTTATCGGCATGTTGTAGATCTAAGATTACTTGTCGAGTGCGAGTCAGCAGTTTTGAAGCCATGTGAGTCTAAACCCTCATACCACAGTTTTACGGTATAAGAACCATGACCACTACATAGTTAGCGTGTGGGCTGCCGTTGCTGCCGGTGGCTTGGGTGAACGACACACATCCGGCTCTGGCTTCTCACGCCGTCTTGGAGTCTCCGTTCTTTCTGCTCTTCTGCATTGACACATGTACAAGAGAAATGGGGTCGACTTCACGCTTTCGGGTCTCCTGGAGCTGGTATCTCATACTTCTATGATGAGTAGAAACTAGGCAGAACTGGGAGGCCGATTGTTGATATAAGGAAACCTTCTAAAGTGGTGTTTGAGGACCCCCCTCCACCACCCCAGGATCACCAGTATCAATCCGCCTGTTTGCAGAGCCAATTTTGTAAGCAGGGCTTGCAAGTGATGGTGCGTGTCAGCAGCATTGAGCTAAACGCAGAGAACCCAAACTTTTCTGGAGATGCCGACTACCATGTTGATGGGCTCCGAAATAAACACGTAGTCGCCGCAGCGCAATACTACTACGATATTAAGAATATCACCGACACGCGCATCGACTTCCAGCAAGAGGTCGATCTGGACGCGTTCGAGATCACCCTAAAGCCCTATGTAATGTAAAACGTCTTTGGTCTGTCCCGGACGGACGAAGACCCAGCGACTTACCGTGACGCCCCTCCGATGCTACAGACTCTGGGATCAGTAACTGTCACCCATCAGGAATACTTCCTAACCTAGCCTAATACCTTGCGATACCGGACACTGCCCTTCTCACTCCATGACCCTAATCTCCCGGGTTACCAGCAGCTTATCACCATCTGGCTGATCGACCCGTACTACCGCATTTGCTCCTCCCGCAACGTGTTACCACAACAGCATACCTAGTAGAGGGAGAACGCAGTGTTCAACCAATTCGGTGCCTAGTTCGGCTTGCCACAAGAGCTAAGAGACCTTATTATGCGTAAAACAGGCGATTGGCCGATAAGCTTGAACGAGGCGGCGAGGCTTAGAGAGCAGTCGGCTGTCGAGCGTGAACGTGCAATCAGCGCGTAATTCCAGGGGATACGTCCCCATGACTTCTGGTTTCCGATCCAGCTCGGGGAGCAAGGTTGAATTCAATTCTCACACGTCTCCACCATCCGCTGTCTTCGAAACATTTCCGCTGCCTTGCCGAGGGGCGCAACAACCTCTGCCCAATACTGGTCTCTCGCCCGCAGATAGTCCGCTCGTCGGAACTGCTCCTGTGATAGAGACATCCCGGGAGTGACTTTCCAGCCATACTGCAGATAGATTTGCTTAAGATATCGGGTCGCTTTCCACTCCCCATAGTCGATGTACCAATTCAACCGGTCCCAGGGCCCCCAGTCCTCGGGCGGATGCCCAGCCATGAACAGCTCCCACGCACAAACCAACTCCATCGGGGTGATCAGATAGTGCAGACTCCTGTATTTCTCGATATAGGGCGCCAGAACCTTGGAGGGCAGATCGGCCGGTACTACCAGGGGGTCGTCCTCACTCTCAAAGTCCCAGTCGCGCATAAGTCCTGGGATAAGGTAAATCAGGACCATGAAAATCAGAGAAAGAATAGGTAGAAAACAAAAAATGAAAAAGAAATGAAATGATACAGTTTAGCGGGGAAAGAGAAGAGGATGAAGGAAGACACACCAGTCCCCACATCATAGAGCCAGGTCCTCCCCCCACCCGAGGCTTGCGTCAAGGCTACCGTGTTCTCGGGCAATTCGATCTCCGGGGAACAGGTCGATCGCCACGCCTCGAAGCTCCCTTGGTCGGAATCCTTCTCACTTCGATAGTTGACCAAGAAGGTATTGAGGCAGATCTGGAATTCCAGCACCCCCACATCGAGATATGGGATCTGGTACATCACATCAACCACGGCCGGAGTGAATCCGGCGGCCAGAGCCGCAGGGCTGTTGATAGCCCCCTCGGGATGTCGACCTCCTATGCTGCTGTCCTCTGGTCGGAGAATCTTGGCCTCTTCATAGGCCCCGAGTTGATATAGTAGGGTATAGAGCTCGTTCAGACTGCGAATGAGATCGGCGTGGTGGGGTGGCATGGCGGTGCTGGGGTTGGCATGAGGTGAAAATGAGGTGTTGAGAGAGGAGTGGCGGGCGAAGAAAGAGGACTGCTCTTGAGAGATAACTAAGTTCTCCGCAATATGTATCCTTTGTTGTTGTTCAACCAGCAGGCTGGATTATGCCTTGTAGGCGGTGTATCTTCAGAATTGCAGTAAACCTCTTTAAGTCATGTATCAGGGTTATCTGATCATGGTAGATGGTTTCAAAAGGTAGGAGTTTCAGGTGAAATGATGGATAATTAATTACACTGCCTCAGTTGCGGAGAGAGGTAGCCTGCTTGCTCACGTGGCCGGGTTGCTAACCAGATATGTCACCCAATCAGTCCACGGTTCGTTCTTAACTGTTACTTTTAGTACTTGTAGCTTCTGCATATTCCAGGAGTTTTTAACGGCTCAGACTCGTTCTCCTGGCCATGATGTCAAAATCAAATCGAATATTCGTTGTTGATGGGCGGCTCAGATTCGTCTCCGAACTCAGTACCCAAGCTTGTCATGCCACGAAAGTCCCACCGCAAATCGCGGAATGGCTGTAGGACTTGTAAAAGCAGGCACGTCAAGGTGTTGCATATCCCTCAATAGAAAAGTCTCGGAGAGAACGCTAATTGGATCTCAGTGCGATGAGATGAAGCCTGAGTGCTCGAACTGCCTCAACCATTCAGTTCAGTGCGTGTATGGCCCATCCTCCAAGGACGCCCAATCCGCAGTGGCGACCACCCGGAAGACTCCAAGAGCAAGAGCAGAGCTTCCAGGAATAAATACCTTCAAGATACAATTTGTTGAATCCGGCGTATCTGCTGCCTAAGATCCGCCAGAATGCAGACTGCGTGGATGCTGCGCAGGGATTCCAGATGGAGGGGCGTATGGTGAGTGCTGATAGTGTTCCTGCCCAGGAGGTCGTGGTGGACGGGAAAGATGACTGTGTGACGTTGCTGAAGCGGACCTGACGGGCGGGGTGTCTGACGGTCGTTGGATCGGGGGTCTCTTGCACTGCGGGGCAGTGGTCGAGTTTGCTTAGATTGAAGCCTGGTTAATGGGGGAAAGAGAGAAAGATACAGAGAATAGAACTCTTGGGAATGCTTCTGAGACGGGAACGGAGCTTTTGAAAATAGGGCAAGCATTAAATCTGAAACATTAATCAGCACAAATAAAGACGAGTCTCGTGGAAAGCACGGGATCCTACTTCCATCTTCAATGTGGCAATGTTATTGATATTTGGCTTATTCTTGCTGGAATAGCCCTTAGGCTTAGTCGGACTTGAAAACAATCGTAGGTTGGGTTGTGCTGAGTATCAAAAGGCTCTTGTCCCTACTGCGCCAAGAGCCTATCACTACTGTCTATTTCGCCACTTCGTCCGACTTCCAATACAGTGTGATGTGATGTGACTGAGTTGGGTATTGCTCCAGCTGCATGACTTCTCGTCCAGTCCCGGCTTCACATCCTCTGGCTCATACTAGGGCTAGACCTCGACAGAACTCACACCCTATGCTCCGAGACGCGATGCAACACAATATGATATACAGGCCAGACACATTATCCAATCCAGCCTCAACCCTCCCTATACCTTCCACCCCGCCGAATCAACTCCCCTTTCAACTCCTCCGAATAACCGCTAGCATTCCCAATCCGCTACATCATGCCCTCCAGGTCGTCCATCGAGATGGACTCGACTCCTCCCGTTTAGTCCACCCAAGCTCGGAGGGAAGCCGCTCGTTCTCTGTTTGGCATAATAATTAACCAGAGTCAGTTCTTTCCTCTTGTGCGGGTGCAAGAGAGCAAAAACGAGCCCCCAGTCCGACTCACCGAACAAATCCTCCACCCATGACCTCTCCACCAGCCTCGTGCTTTTGTCGCCCAGGATAATAGTGTATGCCGCGGACTCCCCGGGACTCCCCGTAACCGAAAGCCGTCCCGATCACCGATAGGGCGAAGGTCGGGTTTGGCATACCATATCCTGGTGATGATTGAAAAGGAATGCTACTTGGGCAGCTCGCATGATGTTGTTCAATTTGCGGGTTCGCACTCGGCCTAACGTGGGCAATGCCCCGTGGCCTTCCACAGTTTAGGGCACGCTGTGCGGACTGGTATTTGCGAGGTGAGCCTTATCTAGCCGCTTGTGCCACCGCCTCTGTAGAAAGAAGGTACCCAAGCGGGCGGAATGAAAAGCAGTGCCAAATGAGAGATGAAGTGGAAAAGAAAAGCAGCTTGGTTTTCCCAGCAATGCTGTTCATTAGTGTTGCAGTTCTAGCAGTACAAATCCTCATGTCAAAGGTGGACAAGTCACACGTGTTGAGCATGTATACTGTCACTTACACCCGATTTCCGCACCACCACCCTGACCTTCCAAACACTAGAGACCTACAGTCGGTACACCTCACCTAGCTACCGTACACATTTGCCACACACACAGAGCGAAAGAGACACAAAGAGAGAGCAAGAGCCCCTACTCATACCTAAAGTTCAAAGTTGCATCCCCTTCCGTCCCCAGCGAAGGCGGCAGATCCCCAACTCCCTGGCCCCAAGAACTCTCATTCCTTCCCAACCAGAGAACCAACTCCCTTCCCTCGGTGAAGAAATCGTGCCCCACATAGCTCTTAGTGTACGGTTGTCCATCCAGTGTTGCCGACTGGATGTATACCGCCTGGTAGCTCGGATCGAAGCCCACCGTGCGCACGCGGGCCGTCTTGCCCGTGAGCGGGGAGGTGATGTTGACGCTCTCAAAGAACGGGGCCGTGATCAGATACACGTTCTGGCCGGGGTTGGGGAACAGGCCCATCATCGTCATAGCCACGAACGAGCCCATGGCGCCCGAGTCGTCGTTGCCTGGCAGGCCCGTGGGTGTCGGGTTGAAGAAGGCCGGAATGTAGGTGTGGGCGCGCGCGGTGGACTTGCCCGGTCGGCCGGCGTAGTGGTACTGGAAGACGGTCAGGAAGGCGGGCTCGTTGCCGATGTAGGTGATGCCGCGGTCGTGGAGGTAGTCGAGGCGGCGGGTGAAGGCGTCGGGGCCGCCGAGGAGGGTGATGAGGGTGGACATGTCGTGGGGGACGAAGCTGCGTCGTGTTTCGTCTTAGTATTGATTCGTGGAAGAAGCACTAAAAAGCGAGAGCGCAACTTACAATTGATATTCCCAGATGCTGGATTCAAAGGTCTCGGCGGCGTTGTTCTGCAGGGAGCAGGATCGGCCGCTTGTGTCAATGTTGGAACATGTTAGGGGGTCCTAAGCCAGGTATTAGTCTGCCATATCAAAAAGCTATCGGTGATTGTGTCATGGTAGCGTGTCGTAGGTATACGAACCTGGTATCCCCATGTGCCGTTCAAGTATTTCGGCTGGAAGAAGCCCTTGAATCCAGTATCCGTGCCGTTGAGAAATGAGGTCTGATCTGCACGGAAGAGATTCTGCCAATATTTTGCAGTCCTTTCGTACTTTTCCGCATCGCTCGTCTTACCCATACCTCGAGCCATTTGTGCGATAGTGAAGTCATTGTAGGCATATTCTAGCGTGCGGGATATACTTCGTGTCAGGGTTCCGAAGCCAATGTAGTCAAAGTCCTCCACGGGAATGTAGTTCAGTGCCTTCCAGCTCTGCAACCCTCCCCGGCCTTCGTTGGACCAGTCAAACGGCTCCTCTTCCGCATCTTTCTGCACCGCTGCATACCCGACTTCCCAGTCAACCCCGTTGCTAATGTTCTTGACGTATGCGTCTGCAAGCACAACATCTGCGTTGGAGCCTCCCTGCGTATAGCCTACACCTCTGTCAGCATTAACTGCGCCTCATCACGTCAGTGCTTACCTTTGCAGAGTGACATGCGACAGTCAGGTAGCCATCCAAGATGTCGTTGCGTATCAATCAGGGAACGAACCATCCGACTCAACGATGCAGGGTCAAAGATTGTCAGAAATGGAAGCTGAGATCGGAAGGAATCCCAAAGGCTGCCCACCACGTTAGAAGAGACAAGATTACTGCAGCGACTGGCTTACCAGTAGAAAGAGTCAAAGTATGGCTCCTCACTTTCCCACAACGGATTCTCTCCAGTGTAATCTTGAGGGTTTACCATAGTTCTGTAGATCCCACTGTAGAAATTGGTCAAGGTAGATGCATTCACCCCGGTTCTGGATACCCTAATTGGTGCCATCTTCTCTGTCCACTTATTGACTGCTGCCGCACGGGTCTTATCGAAGTCGAAATCGTATAATTCAGTCTCTGCATTTTGACAAGCCTGCTCGCTACTGATAAAACTTATGCCTACGCGGGCTTGGACCGTGATTTCAGATGCTGCCTCGAAGCGTACAAAAGCACCGCCCTAAAACTGTCAGTTCGGTATTCAAACAGTAGCTGAAACGACATACCGGAAGAGGGTAGCCATTTATGCTGCGCGAGATTGTGAGGTTCTTGACATCACTACTAGCCCGCGCATCTACAAAGATACCAGTGTCTCGAATGTCGGCCGCGCTCTGGTAATCAGCACAGAAGTATGGCACATAAGAGCCACTTCCGAAGCTTGGCAAGAAACGTGCGTGGCCAGTCATGCGTCCTGTCGTGGCATCAACGGAAACAGTCCCATTGTCCTGGCGCGTGTCGGACAAGTCGGAAAGATCTAACAAGATGAGAGGATTCGATGATACATTGGCGGGAAACCGGAACCGGAACAGAGACACATGATGAGTGGTAGTCATATCCACCTGAATCCCAGAGTTCATTGTCAACCCAAAATATCCCGGACTTGATTTGACGGAAGAGGGGTCATAAGCCGTCTTTCGCTCCTTCTTTGGGTAGACGCAGCCATTCACGTCGTCATTCTGGCATGTTGTATAAGGGAACAGAGGGAAGTTTCCGAGAGAGGGTTGGCCGCCGGTGCCTGAGTCGTGCAGACTGGAGAAGCCGGTGATACGACTCCCGTCGAACGCAAAGCCCCCTTGATTGTTTTGCGAATCTGTATCGGCTACGGCTTTGGCCATGCCATAGGGAATTGTCGCGCCTGCGAAGACATTTCCTAATTGACACTATCAGAACGACGCTCAAAAGATAGAGTATTTGGGAAGAGTTGGCGGGACATACCTCCATTGGCACTCCCGATGAGAGGATTGATGTATTGCAGGACATCGTAGTCATCAACTGCTGCCGAGGCAGGGTCAGACGAGCCCAGAACAACAGGTAGGATCAAGAGGAGCGAGATCGAACTCCAAACGGCCATCTTGAGTGCCATAGGAAGAATGAATCGAGGGATAAGGCGCGCGTGTGGGCGAACTGAAAGCCGAGACGAACAATCGTTGTGGCATGCAGGCGCGGACTGTCAAGGGGCGCGCTGATTGCCCCTGCCACAAAATGAGCTGCGCGAACATCTTGCCGGCCTAGCATAATGCCCCTGACAGCCTTGATGGGGTCATGAATGCAATGTAACCATTTTAGCTCCATTGGTCTGATGAGATTCAATGAGATGATGCAGAGCGAAGTCGCTAGTCACACTTCCCGCAGAGAAGCGCTAATCAGCTTGCAGGGGGGTACTCCAGTTCAAGGTGTTTTTAAAATTCTGCCCGGCCCATAAGAAATTTAGGGAGTGTCGCACAATCTGTCAAAGGCATTGAGAGGGACTCATTGACGATAGAATGATAGTAGTGGTTGTCGGGGGTTGGACGAAGGGAGGGAGAAGCTCATTGTGTACTCCGTACTTCACAGTAGGAGAGAATTGACATGTGGGTTGTACAGTACTACTGTACTACAGACAAGCCACGGTCCAATGACTTTGTGACTGCAAAACAGCTAAACATTTCCTATTACAATTACTCTGGCTACTTCAACTCCTCCCATGACTCTCGTTATTCCCAACTACCATTCCCCCATCATTTCTGGCCTAGAAAATTCAAAAATATTCCCGAATGACAATGATGAAATTATACCACGATACTTTGACCTCCGAGAGCGATGAGCCTCGGCTCCTGCTGCTGCGCCGCACCAATCAGCAGGGCGGGCGGGCGGAGCTTCTGGAGGGGATTTGGCAGCGGGTCTCTCTTTCTCATCCAGTTCCAGTTCCAGTTCCACTGTCGCGCCGACTCTCGATGGATCCGCAACCCTCACCGCGATAGTCTTCAGCAATCTGGTTCGGTCCGAGGGATCCATTGCGGCTTTCTTTCCCAGGCCATCCGCTTCCCCTTTTTCTTTTGCCCCTGCCCGCGCTGCTTTTTCGCAGAGTCTCGCCGCCATGCCGCAGGTCCCAACAGTTCGCCTGGGATCCACTGCGATCCTCAGCAGTGTCCAACAGCCTCTTCGCTCTTTATCTTCTTCTCGTCTGCCTGCCGCAGCTTCAAACCACACAGCTTTACTATCTTTTCGCTTCTCTCCGCCCCCGAAACCAACGTGTCGGGCATATTCTTCCACAGGTTTGTCCCGTCCATGCGATCAGCATGAAAGAACAGCCGAACTAATCTGACACATCTCTCTGCGAACCATACAGCCACTCCTCCCCCTCCTCGATCCCGTCTCCGCCGCTTTATTGGCTTCACGTCACTCGCCGTTTTTGCCTTCATCGCTGGAGGATCCTACCAGACCTTGAAGACCGCCTCGGGCATGATGGACCTCCGACTAAGCACCGACGAGGAGACCCTCTCCGCCTTCATCCCCGGCGATGAGTTCACCAAGGAAGTAGACGACTATATTCGCAATCATCCACTGGCCGTCTCGCTGCGCGAGGACCCCGCCTTCACCGAATCCCGCCCACACTTGAAGATGCCAGCACAGATGCGCGCGCGCAGTCTCACGGGCGGAACGTTGGCCGGGCCAGAGATGATCGTCGTGCCGCCATTGGTGTTCTGCGAGGAGGGTGGGAAGAGCCTGGTTTCTTTGCTGTACCTTGGTCCCAGCCTCTGCGGGCATCCCGGAATCGTGCACGGCGGTCTCCTGGCCACCTTGCTGGACGAGGCAATGGGCCGCTGCTGCTTCCCCGCGCTGCCGAACCGCGTTGGCGTCACCGCCAACCTGAATCTCGATTACCGCCTTCCCGCAATGGCGGGTAATTACGTCGCGCTGCGAGCAGAGACGGTCAAGGTGGAAGGTCGCAAAGCCTGGGTGGAGGCGCGCATCGAGACGCTGCCGGAAGATGGCAAAGAGCCGAAAGTCCTGGTAGAGGCGAAGGCGCTCTTCATTGAGCCCAAGCAGGCTGCGGTAAGTTCGACTTCTCGGGAGCGCGTGCGGGATCAGTAAAAGCTAACGAAACCTCCACAGGCAATGTCCTCCCTGTACAACGTCACCGCTTAGACCATTAGACCCCCGATACATATTTCCCTTACGTGGGGTTTTTGTTATCCCATGGAAAGCACTGGGATTCGGAGATCACCATGATTAGATCGTTCTTCAAGCGCATAGACGATATTTCCAGATTTATATAAATGTTTACCGTTTTCAGATCAATGTGTATGTATATAACCTGTTCTGCCCGGCCCCGTTGCGACTCTATTGGCATCTCGCATATTTACTACTGAACATGACCTGTCCGCTATGACAGACTTAGAGACCAGCTTAGAATACAGTGCCGTTAAGAGATGTGGGATTGGCTATCACTATACACTGCCAGCAACCTCGGTACCTTCAGGGTCATGGGCCACTACCTCGATCTCCACGCGCATGTCGTCTTCGCCCAGACGGGTCACCCCAACGCAGGTTCAGAGCGGTTCATGATCTGGCATATACTTCTTGAAGTTGCGAACCATTGCTTTCAGGGCTTCGTTATTGATGGGCACATGGTATGAATTGACCCTGTACACCTGGGACCACCCTTTGCCTCCAGCGTCTTTGAGGCAGAGCTCTACGTTGGAGAAGGCGAGGTCAATCTGAGCATTGATCTCTTTCTCAAACTCTCCTGTCTTGGGATCCCAGCCGCCTTCGGGATTCTGGATCAGCAAGAGTGTCTCATACCTGGGACAGTAAGATTGGTAGTCTCTTTCTTACCTTGGCCAGAACATTCGATCCGGTTTCCAACACGGACGGTTTGGCTGTAGCGGAACACCTTCTGTTGGCGGACTCCATGGCCCTCGTATGCGTAGAACTTGAGGTGGGACATAATGGTGGATTTTAGATGATAAATGAATGGAGTTGAAGTGAGAGAACAGAGGATTGTGTCTTGTGAGAAACTAATTTTGCAGTACCTCTTCTAGGCACTCTTTGGACAATGAGGGTTAAATATTGGCCCTTGGGGTAAGTTCGCCGCCGGGCTCGGAATATGAATTCCTATCGAGACTATCACCTCTCCCCGTTATCGATTAGCGAATGCCACTCCATGTCACTTTCCTTCCTTTCGAATTGCAGAGTCTCCACTCACCTCAGCACTGCAACTCGTTCAAAAGCCTCGGACTGATTGAGACATATTGATGAAGATGTCAACGGAAGCAAATCGCCAACAGCGCTACTCAAGAAGCGATCGGTCACGCCCCGAGCTCAGTATGCGGCACAAGCTTGTCAGGAATGTCGGCGACGGAGAGCAAAGGGATAGCTTCAGGCAAATCATGCGACATGCAGCACGGGAGGACGAAACCAAACTTAGCTCACTGTTCTATAGTGTGATGGTCACAAGCCGTCGTGTGCTCGGTGTCTGAACCGCGGCATGGAGCGCGTGTTTAACACCCGAGATGACAGTCGTGGCAGGGCGCCGAAATTCTTAGTGATGCAGCTTCAAGCACGCATCCAGCAGCTCGAGCAGGTGTTATTGCTCCATTCCATCGATGTCGATGTCCATTCATCTATAGCTCAGCTCAAGGCCGCGCATCTTCCATCAATCTCCCCCTCCCATTCCCAACAACGGTCGAGAGAAGAGGAGCCCGTTGGGGCACTGTGCGCGAATGAACCGTTCGGTTTGAAAGACAAGGATGGCGATGAGGAGGAGATGCGCTTCTTCGGCTCCAGTAGTGGGCGGGTGGAACTACTGCAATCCACTCCTTGTATTTCTCTAACAGAGATCCATCCGAGTCGTGACTGACGAGCGTGACCACGCTTCACTGCTTCTACTATTGCAGTGCACAGCAACTTCGAACTAACCTCTTTACAACGCGCTTCATTTCGCTCGGGTCTGAACCGGTTCCTTCAAGACCCTGGTCTAGTCCCTCCTATTGACGAGAAGAACATCTCATTGCTCTCTATTTCCAGTGGGAGCAACCGTGATTTCAGCTTGTGGACGAGCAACTTTTCCGACAGAGCTTGCGCCAGGAGGGGCGAAATTGTAGTCCATTGCCGCTCCATTGTATCCTGGCTATGGGCGCTCGCTACTCGGAGAGACTGGAATTGCGCTCCACGCCGGACGGCCCGAACACTGCAGGCGAAATTCTCTTGGAAGTTGCCGAAGTACTGCTTAATTTTGATCTCCGGTCCCCGAGCATCACCACCATCCAGTCCCTTGGCATCATAACCATATTTTACGTTGTAAGTGTTTAACAGCTCATCGGGCTTGTCTTCGCCATCCCTGACTTGTTTGGAAGCTGAAATCTATTGTTTGGTTGAGGCGATCGGGTCTGACTCTAAGGGCTGGCTTCGCCATTATCCGCTTGGCGCTGGATATGGGGCTGAATCTAGATTCTGCGACGCTGGAAAGGACTCATCAATTTCCCGAGGTCGAGATCAAGCTCCGCAAACAAATATACTGGTCACTTTACTGTACCGATAAGCTCTGGGCAAGCTACACCGGGCGGGTCTGCACCAAGTTGGTAGGGTTGCCTACTTCTCCTCGCCATTCGACTCCTTCAAAATTGGATTACGGGACTGATTTGGTGTTAGGACTCCCAATATTCGGTGGAATTGCCCCTGTCAGGGGTTGCGTTTGACGATTCCAAGCCTACGCAGATGCTTCCAATGCTTCTCCACTCCCTGTCCACCCACTGCCAGATCCTTGGGGAGATACTTATGAAACTTTACGCTCCGGGTAAATTACCGCCTGGTATTCAAAGAACCACATTCTTTGACTCATGTCTGTCCGAGCTCAAAAGCTGGAGATACCACCTGCCCGTGGCGTTGTTCGAGGCGAGGACTCCGGCGCAGAAGTTTGTCTGAATGTGAAATGGAACCAAAGATGGGTTTTATGTTGAGAGAATCATTGTACATCCATTTAATTTCTGTCAGCTCAGCCCTAGTCTTAGCAGACTTGTTTTGTAACAGCTTCTCATGGTTGCCTGGACGTTTTGTTGTATCTTCTTTGGCGGAGGCCTTGGTTACTAACTAGCATTACTCCTATAGTTCATTGTCTCATGAGACTTGCAAATCGAGCCTCAAGACACCACCGTCGAGGACAGAATCACAGAGCCTCAGGAATGTATGGATATATGATTAAGATGGCTGCCCCACAAGAGCGCAATGACTGCTGGACCAAGACAGCCCGCTGGAGATCGTCCACATTTCCATTCAGCCATGGGTTTGTCTCCATGGCTTTGTCTTTCGGATCATGACTCAGTATGAGGAATTGGATTTAAAGATAAAATGAGCCAAGATCTCCACGGATACCAATTTCAGCGGGTCTGCATGCTTCGCGAATTGACATACCCACCAGGTCATAATCACACTAAACATATACCACATACACCCCATACACCATCATGGACGGTCTCAGGAGTCTCCCGCACGAGCTGCTAGCCATGAGCATCGGATACGCAGCGGACTGGGTCAGTCTCGAGAGTCTGATTCTGACCTCGCCGCTGCTGGCCGCTCTCTTCGAGCCTGGGGAGTTCCCTGATGCACTCGCCGACTCGGATGCGATCTACCTCGTTAAGGAGAACCTGCAGGCTAATCCGGTTATGACCTCCGAACTAGACCGTTACTTCTTCATGTGCGCCGCGCTCCGGCGGCCCTCTGTCACTGACAGCAGTCTGGCCGACTTTCTGGCCCGTGACTTCTCGCTCGAGACCACAAAGACGACAATGACCCGCGCCTCGCTGCGGGAGATGGTTGCTGTAGCGGCCAACATCCAGCGCCTGGCCTGCATTTGTCTGACCAGCTTCCTGACGCGGCTGCGAGATATCTTTTCGGAGGACCTTGCCAGGGCCCGGTTTCTCGGTGGTTTCCCGGATCTCGGGCCGTATCGGTTGCAGGACGTAGGCCCGCCCTTGTGGAATGAAGAGTCTCGCGTCTACCGTGCCCTTTGGCATCTACAACTCTTTGCTGATATATTGGGTACAGGCACGGCGACTCCTCCTACTCCTCCTCGTCCCCAGCAATCGAGCAGCTGGTCACAAAGCGATATCATGTATCTACAGAACCATCATCTGCGGTGGAGCGGCGGGGGACAGCTGCCCTCGGGACAATATGACACCTGGTTCGAGATTCTCGAGGTGTCGGGCTGTCTGGAGGCGCTTTACGGGCCCGACGATGCCCCGGTCACCGCGATGGCTCAGTCCGATGACGCGAGTAATCCACCCCAAATCGAATTCCGAAGCAGCATCGGGTACTATATCAGTTCATACAACCCGCCTCTCATCTCGAAGATGCCGGTGGCTTCTCGTGACACCGCCGTGTGGGCGCCTCCGGAGCCGCCCATACACCTCTCGGACGATGTACGATGGTGGTGAGACCTGGACCTTTGAGCGACCCAGGTCAATGATGCGCTAGAAGATATGCGGGAGGTTAAATGGGATAATGTGGGGCATTGTGAACGGGAGCGCCCAGCACTGGACGGGTTGGGCATGTCGGTGTGGGATCTCTGGCGATTGTTCGGCTTGGGACTCTATGACCGCTTGCACAACGAACGGAAGACCTTTACCACGCCGGATGGGGTCGAACATCTCCGAAATTTCTTGCAAACACGCCGTTGGATCAATGAATATCATTTTAAATGTCTTCTGAGGATGTATGGGGTGCCGGAGGTGGCAGGTAGGGCATGTTTTTTCTAGCAAGATTGGGTAAAGGTTGTGATCTATTCCCCGTGCGCATTTTACTCTTCATTCCGAAATCATTTTGCTCATCTAATTTTGCCAGCCTTTAGGTTATCTTGCGGCATCCTTTCTTGAAATGCCGTTGCTGGTCGTCCTTTCTCAGAATCTCCAAGTTTCAATGCAGTTCTCCCCCCTCCCCTTCCCTTGGTTGGCGTAGAAAGAGAGGAGATTAAACATTCTCAACCACCATGAAACAAATGTGCTAGAACAAAGTATGTAAATAGTGTGCATCGGCCTCATAAAAGCAATAGACAGACTATCTGCACTTTATGACCGAACTCACTTCATGTATACACAGTAGTGTTTTGTAGCTCCTATTGGAACAGCTGCATTTACCACGAACTAGGTAAATTTGACGTCACCCGTGCCACACCACTGTCGCGGTCTATTAATCTATCCATCTATCAATCAATCATCCATTCATTCCAGCAAGCATCTACCAACTCCCCAACCCCCATCTCCAACCATTATACCTTTCGCAATCCCCTCCCGTTGTAATTATTGATTAGTCCAATACCCAGAGCAACCAAAATGCCAACCTCCACCCCCCAAACCCTCACCATCGACCCAACCCACCCAGAACCACCAACACGACACCACCACCACAACGACAACGACACCACATCCTCCATCCCCACAAGCCTCCCCGCCGCCAAAGCCACAAAGGCCCACCCCCGCAACCCCGGGGCGGAGAATGCTTCAATCTACTTTGTCGGGAACGCGACCACCATCATGTATGCTCTTCCCCTTCTCTGTCCTCCTGATATGGAAAGGAAGTATGCGAGAGTAGAACCTGGCTAAGCTCTGCGATAGACAATGGCATGGTATTCGGATTATGACTGATGTATGTGAAGCCTATTCTCGCTACATGACTTATGAGGGCTGTGTGATTCAGTATAGCGGTGGCTAATGATTTCGGCGTGAAAAAAAGCCCAATTTCCTGCACGCAGGCGACCATGTCCATCTCGGGCCGGGGGTGACCTCGACCCGGAGGAAGGATCCGGCGGTGGATTTGGAGGATCTGCCCCGGGTGGATCTGGTGCTGCTGTCGCATTATCATGAGTATGTTTTTTTCTTTTGCTTTTCTACTTGGTTTTACATGGGGGGGAAGGGGGCTTGAACGCTCTTCAGTGGGGGACAGTCGAACGACAGGCCCGCTGCTGGAATTAGGGTTGTTGTGCCCTGTTCAATTCACAGCTAGCTGCAGTCGTTGAGGGCGGCAGTTGTGCATGTGTCTAGCACATACGACCACAGGGTGTGGAAAATAGGGCTTCCCGTCCGCTCAGCCGTACTCAAGCCACACGCCGGGAGGTTAGTAGTTGGGTGGGTGACCACCAGCGAATCCCTTCTGTTGTATGTTTTTTAGTCTGTTTGGGGGCATTTTTGGCACTCTGTTTTAAGATACTTGCTTTTTCAAGTCAGCCAGACGGTATGACACTGATACGATGTATGCAGAGACCATTTCGATCGACATGTAGAGGACTCCCTCCGCCGGGGCCTCCCCATCATCACCACGCCGCACGCGCAATCGATCCTCACCTCCAAGGGTGACGACTCCTTCACCCGGGTCGCATCCGTGGATGTGTACGAGCAAGCGATGGTCGATATCCGCGGCGAGCACCCGCCGGACAAACAGCCCCGGTTGCGGGTGACTGGTATGCCCGGGAGGCATATCCCCCTGGCGAAGCCTCTGGAAAAGCTGAATGAGCTTGTCGGCGCGGTAAGTCTGCGTCATCGTCGTCATGCCTTCTTCATCTCCTTTGTTCTCTTTGTCTGTTTTTGCTAGTTGTTTTCAACTGACTAAAAACCACCAGATCCCCCCCACAAACGGCTGGATGCTTGAACTCGGCTACAGCAGCAGCAGCACAACGACGACCGCCGACTTCACGCCGGGATACCGGATCTACATCTCCGGGGACACGCTGATGTTCGACGAGCTGAAGGAGATCCCGCGGCGGTATGATGGGCAGACGATCGACCTGATGCTGGTGCATCTGGGCGGCACGACGGTGCCGTCGCCCGCCCTGGGCCCGTTGGCGATGATGGTGACGATGGACGCAACCCAGGGGGTCGAGCTGATGCGCTTGATCCGGCCGCAGGTGACGATCCCCATCCATTTCGACGACTATGACGTGTTCGCCAGTCCGTTGGAGGATTTCAAGGCCCAGGTGAAAGAGGCGGGGTTCGAGGGGGAGGTAGTCTACTTGGACCGGGGGGATGAGTATCGGTTTCATGTGTAGAAAGGACTCAAGTGAGGAGAGAAAGCGAATCTCAGGGAAGTAAAAAGTACAGTACATCCAAACTACTGAGCAAGGTGGGAAGACGCATGGGCTCGTGTCATTGGCGGGTTGGGTTGCCTCCCTTGGCCAGGGTTTCGTTTGTGGAGTGGATCTTTTGAGTGCAATTAATGGTCAAGGGCAAGGGGGTGGTCGGATAAAGTACCGTGGACTAGGACAACTGGGGAGTTGACAATGAAACTCTTTTTTTTTGCCATCGAGATGGAGTAGAGAGGGACTTGTGTCTTGGCTGATGATATCGGGGGCACGCCCCCTCCAATCAACTGGGGTACGGTCCTCAGTGCAGGGGTTATGTCGAAATAATCCTCGTGAGTTCGCACTTCTTAACCAAAATTAACAACGGACCCAGGTTGATATTCCCGAAGGGTCTGGGCGGAGAGTGGCAGATGGGAAGGTGAAGGTGGAGAGTTCATCCATGATGTAAGACTTGAAGGTTGAACGGGTGAATCAGACGGTCCAGTCAGCTGCAATGCGCAATGCAAACCAGCCAGCCCTGCAGATTCCGTTCGTACGTCTCCAATTTTATTTTTATTTCCTGTACTGTACATCTTGCAGCGGGATTATTGCATGACCCTCGCTTCCTGCTTTCCTCCTTTGTTTGCCATCCATCCATGCAGTGGTGGTTTGAAGTATATCCTCGTATCTTATACTTCTCCTCCCTTCCCTTCAGCCTCGTTTCAAACGATCAGCGTCCCCACACGTCATAGTGACACCAATCGCAAAAGTTCCTTTATGTGCGGACTTGTGAATGTAAACTAAGAAGTGAATGATAAAGCGAGATCAGGTCGATCATTCGAGGACCACAACTTTTATCTTCACGTCAAACTTATTTATCTCTGGAGAAGAAACTCAACGTTCGCTAAAGTGTCACCTCAACCATCTCAAATCATCTCTATCGCAAATCTCCACAACATACAAATACTCCAACGAAAAGAGAAACACAATGGCCAACGCTACATTGAAGAGGGAGCCCGCCGCCTCCGCGAACAAAGTGCCGACCTTGCACACCATCCACAACGTCAAACGGTCCGTGTCCTACTCGCCTGCGCAGAACGGCGAGCACGCCGCTGCTGCGAGAGCGGCCGAGTCGACCCGCGGATGCGATCACATGGTCAAGTCCGCGTTGACGGAGTTGCTGAACGACGACGGGGTCAAGTCGAATGCCCGTGGGAGTCGGTCGGTGCAGAACATGCTCATGCAGAACGAGAAGAAGCGCAAGTCCCAGCGGCGGCAGTCTTTGCTTGAGCAGGGGAATCATAAGTGAGGGAGTGGAGGGTATGCGACAAGCATGATGAGTTAAGCAATCTGGGATCGTGTTGCTGCTGCTGCTGGCATGGCTACTTTCATTGACTGGGAGGAAAAGTTGCGATCTGCCTTGTCGACGATGGAGACATGGTACCGATCTACTGAAGCTGAGGTCGATTGTATGGAGGCTCGGTGATGGTTTGAAGATCTAAGGATGGTCAGTACACGATGACCGGGTTCAGCAAGATACCAAGTTTGGTCAGCACACGACGACCGGTGTCGACTCGGATGAACTGCAGCTCTAAAGACGCTGGAGCAGAATTGCAGAAGGATTAGAGGAAAGCTGGAGGTTTCGTTGTCTTGTTTTTCAGTTCTGGGATTTCCAAAAAGACGGGTTGCATTGCGTTATGATTCATGAGTACGATAATGATAATGAATAATGAGCTTCGGATTCCGACTTCATACTTTTAGTAACTGCAAGTGTTGTAGACTGGTCAGTGGGCGGCGCATTTGGCCTACAGTATGCCAGCTCTGTTTAGTGCACACAAGTATAAATCTGGCGGAGTAGTTTGGCTGCATGTGTCCTATTTATTAGTAGATATATGTCAAGCAGCTGACAGGCAAGCCAAGAAAAGCACTATTTTTCCAACAATGTCTGTGTAACTGACAAGCCTTGGTGGTTTCTGGGTTGGTGAAACTAAATGATATTCCCCGGGTTAAGCCACTCGCGCACTCGCCGACCGCCTCCGAGTGACTGCCCGACAAGCACTTGGAGCCTCCGCTCCGCAAGCTGCAGCTCCACCTCCCCTCTTCTCTTACCTCCAGTTCAACTTCCGTCCCTCTCTTCCTCTCCTCATTTTCTTCCGATCTTATCTGCACACGACTATCGCATGCGTGGTCCCCTCGCAGCACTCGAAATCCTCCGATAGTCAGTCCCCGCAACTCCTCGTCCCGTGCTGCTGCCACCATGTCGAAGTCCACCAAGTACCTCCTCGTCTCGCTCCCCACCTCCATCACCCCCTCCCACCACCGCGACGACGCCCTCGATGCCGTCTCTGCCACCGTCGCCCCTGAGAATGGCTCCGTTGCCCCCTTCCCCATCCCAGAATTCAAGATCGGTACCCTGGATGCCTTAGTGCAGCAGGCCGATGAGCTGGCCAAGCTGGAGGCCGCCTGCCAGGGGGTCGTCGCCAAGGTCGGCGATGCGCTGAAGAATATCTTGGAGGGCGACGAAGCGCAGATCGAGAAGATGAAGACCGTGAACGATAGTATGCAACCCTGCCCCCGCTCTACCATGACACTCCCTTCTCGGAGAATCTGCCGGTTAACGCAATGACGCAACCCTTCTGCCTTCGTAGAGCCGGTGGACCAATATCTACGCACATTTTCCTGGAACAAAGTCAAGTACCGGGCCGATAAGCCTCTGGCGGAATTGATCGACTTGCTACAAAAGGTGAGTGGTATTTATGTCATGTGTCTGGTACGAATGGAATAGGCAGGGGACGGCGATTGTTGACGCCCAGAGCAGGAGGCCGCTAGTATCGATAACGACATCCGCACAAAGTATACCCAGTACAACCAGGTGAAGAATACGTTGGCGACGCTTCAGCGGAAGCAGACGTGAGATCTCCCTCTTGTCACACCCCTATGTCTTGATCTAAAAGGCCGCGTGCTGACATTGGCGGTAGGGGTAATCTGTCCACTAAATCGCTCGCCTCGGTCGTCGACCCGCGCACCCTGGTCCAGGATTCCGAATACATCGAGACGCACCTCATCGCCGTGCCCGCTCAGCAGATCAAGGAGTTCCTCAAAACTTATGAGACGGTCGCGCCGATGGTGGTGCCGCGGTCGGCCACGCTCGTGGCCTCGGACAACGACTTCACGCTGTACGCCGTCACGACGTTCAAGAAGCACAGCGTCGAGTTCGTACACAAGTGCCGTGAGAGCAAGTGGATCCCGCGCGACTTCAAGTACGTCGCCGGCGGCAAGGAGGAGGAGCGGCGGAAGGTCGAGCGCGTGGGCGGCGACGAGCGCAAGCTCTGGGGGGAGACGCTCCGGCTGGGCCGGACGGCGTGGAGCGAGGCGGTCATGGTCTGGATCCACGTGCTGGTGCTGCGGGTGTTTGTGGAGACGGTGCTGCGATATGGGCTGCCATTGGACTTTGTCTGCACTTTGATCCGGGTGAGTTTTCATTCGATGGGAATTTTTTGGACAGCCAGCGGAGTGCTAATTCAAGACGACAGACCGCGAGCTCGAAACAAGCGGACAAGGCGAAACACAACCTGGACGACAAGTACTCGTATCTGGCGGGCAATGCGTTCGGGCGCGACAAGAAGGGCCGGGTGAAGCGCGACGACCCGAGCGAGATGCACGGCGAGGGAGCCGCGGCGGCCGATTATACGGCATACGTGTATTACGACTTTGAGTTCCAGTGATTACTGCCATGGTGTTTAATCTACCTGAGCTGTCTTTTTTCTTTGTCTTGTGGATATGTATAGCGTACATAGAGTCGAATGGCATGCTTGATTGAGCCTTGCGTGACATGTTTGTCTACATCAACCATCTCCGGATTCGGCGAAAAAATAAATCTATTTGTATATATACAGATTCAACGCAGCCCACCTTTCTTCTGAAGCTCCATCTGCACTCTATGCAAGACAGCCAAAATTATCAACAGGAAATATTCTATATTTCAGGCACCCTATCCACCGCCCCTCTTTTGCCCCCCTGGAACAAATAGATCTAAATCTAAGCAGACTTAGGAGGGAGGTACCCCTTGGAATCGAGATACTCAATGATCTGGCGCACAGCCTCCTGCACGGGGACCTCATGGTTCTTGATGTGCACCTCGGGCTTCACCGGCGCCTCGTAGGGGGCACTGATCCCCGTGAACTCCTTGATGACGCCCTCGCGGGCCTTCTTGTACAGACCCTTGGGGTCGCGCTGCTCGGCCACCTCCACGGGCACATCGACGTACACCTCGACGAAGGGCAACCCGGTCTCCTCGCCGGGCGTGGGCACCTCGTGCAGCTGCCGGGCGGTATCCCGGTCCTTGCGGTAGGGGCTGATGAACGAGGTGATGGCGATCGAGGCGCTGTCCGCGAACAGCTTGGCCACCTCCGCGATCCGCCGGATGTTCTCGTTCCGGTCCGCCTCGCTGAACCCCAGGTCCTTGTTCAGGCCGAACCGGATGTTGTCCCCGTCCAGTCGGTACGCGTGCACCCCCCGGTCGTGCAGCAGTTGGTGCTCCAATTCCACGGCCAGAGTCGATTTGCCCGAGGCGGAGAGCCCCGTCAGCCAGATCGTGAGGCCTTGTTGTTTGCGCAGGTTGCTGCGTTCGCTGCGCGTCAGGGCGCTCGCGTGGTAGGTGATGTTTCTGCGGTGGGGTTAGTGGTGGTTGGTGTGGTGGTTGGTTTGGATTGGGGATGGGGAGAGAACGGGACTTACGTGGCCATTTTGAAGGAGGTTTTGAGGGTTAAGGGGAAGTTATGGGATGAAGGATCTGGGAAGAGGGAGATGTTGTAGGAAGGAAAAGAGGAGAGGAGGGGGAGTCAGAGAAAAAAGGGCGAAACCTGGCTAAACTACTTTCCTACTCACTCACTCATTGGCACGGCGGCGGGGCCGCCGATCGCGGGGTGGATTAAGAAGTTGATTTTGCCAAATTGCGTTATCGTTGGGCGGTGAGCCCATTGCGGGTCTCTTTGGTTGCTGCCCGCAACTCACTTGGCTCAGTCAGGCACGCTGCGACTTGTTAAGGTTGGGTTGGTTACGTATGCCGCCGCGGGCCTGGGCCCCGCTACTACGTACAGCCTGTACAACCTGTACACGACTCAGGGGACTGTAGACCGTCGATATGATTCAGTGGCCTCTATCGTTGTCTCTGGGTGACTCCTTGTCGGGGATCTATATTAATGTGATGCGTACTATGGCATGATCTTGTTTAGCGTTGCCCTGCCAGCTCTATCACCCGCTTCGCCGCGGCCTCGAACTCGTCAAATGCCTCCAGCGGGAGTCCACTCTCCGCGATCTGCGACATCAACCGTTAGCAAATAACCTCACGCGAGCCCGGAGCCGGACACCAAGCATTTACCATTCGTTGGCCCTCTTTCTCGTTGGTCCCCCGCAGCCGCACCACTAAGGGGATGCGAACGTCCAGATCCTGGAACGCCAGCAGAATCCCCTCCGCGATCATATCGCACCGCGTCAATCCCCCAAAAATGTTCACAAAGATGGCCTTGACTCGCACGTCCGACAGGATGATCTGAAACGACGCCTTCACCGTGGCCGACGTCGCCTTGCCCCCTGTGTCTAGGAAATTGGCGCAGTGGCCGCCGTGCATCGTCAGCGCGTCCACCGTGTTCATGGCCAGCCCGGCGCCGTTGACTGTATGGGGTTAGTCGGTGGTCACCGTTTCGATTGATGAGAGGGGTTCCTTACCTAGTGTGCCTATACTTCCCTCTCCATCTAACCTACAATCAAGGATGAGCATCATGTGCGGAGAGAGAAGGTGCGAGCACAACTCACTTGACGTAGACGATACCGTCTTTCTCAGCCAGGACCTCTTCCGGCACCTCCTCTGCTGGGTTTCTCAGGCTCTGAATATCTTCCTGGCGTCCTGAACTTCGGAAGGCAGCATCGTCGAATCCAAACCGTGCCTCACGCACTTCCAAGGCATCCGTAGCATTCGCTCGGACTTCCAGGAGGTATGCCTCATTCTCCGTGAAGATCTGCCAGAGTGCCTGGACGAGTGCAGCCAGTTTCTCTTGCGACGCGGTCGGAAGCTGCAGGTGGGAGGCGACAGCCTTGATAAGCGGACTTGTGCTCTCGAGACCCGGGGTCTCGTAAGGAAACGGAAAGCAACCGGTGTGCTCGGGGCTGAAAGCGGCGGTCGACGATGCAAGGATGCATGGAGACAGCGCGGTTCTGTCAACGGTCAGAGTCAGGAAGAAGTCCGCATCCGATGAAGCGATCTCTTTGACCGCAATGGACTTCGCTCGGAGCATGTCGAGCGCCTGGAACGGCTTCACGTAGAGGTTCCGGGTTTGCTGTTGTGGCGCTTGGTGACTGACATCTACCGTAGCTCTTCTCATTGTGTGGAAGCCTCTTTGTTGGCTTACGCCCCTGGCAAACTACAGCGGTTGAGTATCTTGATGATGTTTTTGCTCCAAGACAAACTCACATTGGCATCATGGGCTAGCCCTCGACTCTTCAGGAGAGTCTTCATACCCTCTCCGAATTTCTCCGGGTGGTTCACCATGACTGCACCGGCACTTTCCAGCGCCTGATACTTGGCTTTGGCGTCCGGCTCTCCAGGAGCGGTCCAGGCACCGGCATGACCCATCACGCGTCCTGCCGGCGCATGCTGACCTCCGACCAGAGCCATGATGGGTCTATTCGCAGTGTCAGCATTTGCAAGCTGACATGGCACCTCAGATCGCACACATACTTGGGATTGGCGGTCCTCCGGTAGTAATCTCGGATCCAGTCGGCAGCATCCATCTCGGCCGTCCCCCCAATCTCTCCGACCAGGACAATACCTTCGGTCTCGGGGTCACTTTCGAAGGTCCTCAGAGCGTCGACAAAGTTCGTCCCAGCTAGCACATCCCCTCCCATGCTAATACAAAGAGTCTGGCCCAAGCCCGCACGGGTCGTAGATGCAGCAGCCTCATAACTCAAGGTGCCCGACTTGGCTACGATGCCAATCTTACCTGGCGTGAAGCATGGCAAGGGCTGAAATCCAATGCGGCATTTCCCTGTCACCGAGATGATACCCGGGCAGTTGGCCCCGACCAACCTTGTCTTTGACTGAGTTTTGAGCATCGAGTGCACCTGAACAAACAATTAAGCAGTCGGCCAATTTGCACAGAGAGAAAGGTCCTTACACGTAGCATATCATGAATCGGAACATGCTCCGCTACAGCCACAACCAGCGGCACCTCCGCCTCAATGGCCTCCTCGATAGCCGCGGCAGCCGAACCACCAGGCACGTAAACGGCGGACGCATCCACCCTCACATCAATCTGTGCCTATTACCCAAGTCAATTCGTCCGCTCTGTCTCAAAATAAACCTCGGGATCCAGCAAGGCCATGCTACATACCTCTCTAACGGACCGAAACACCGGAAGACCCAGGTTCTCCCCCCTAGCATTCTGCTTCACGCCTCCGACGACCTTCGTCCCCCAAGCCAAAGATTCTCTCACATTAGCAGTCGACTAGAAGAAACGGAATCAGCTATTTCACTCTTGCCAAGTTCGTATCTGCAACCCTAGCGCACGGTACCTGGTTACCTACATGAAATGATCAGTCACAGCCAAGGTCCACTATATACAGGTATGGCACGTGACCTACCAGGAAAGCCCTGGAACAACACATGCGTATGAGCCCCGATCTTGAGATTCGGTAGTGTAGCTGCATAGTTCTCGGTTCTGCGTGCTGAGGTTGTGAACCGGGCTCTTGGGCTGAGGGATTGGAGCCTTGAAGGCGTCGTTCGCCGCGCCTGCGCGGGGATACAGCATAAGCGAGTCATGGGGTTCGTCGCAACTTGGGTCGGATCTCAATGGGGATTAAACAAAGCAGTCACGCAATTGAGCCAGCTGATGCTTATACTCTGTTTCAAATCTATGGTGTTTCTGATGTGGGCGTCCCAGATGACAAGGTAGTAAAGTAAGTGTTGACAGCGGCACCGCCAATAATGCGGGGAAGTTATAAGAGAAGAAGCACAAACATTGAAAATCGGAAACGCTACTGGGGGGCCTCGGAGGATGGGCGGCCCCTTAAGAATGTACTGTAACTTAATGCGCTACGAGTACTTACAGTGCCGATCCCTACTCTCTGACTTCACATTGGGCGAGAGTTTCCGAGGTCATTGTGGGGACTTTGGGGCCAGAAGAAGACGCTTTGATTGGGTTTCTCGGAAGTTGCTGAGCATCGGGTATTGCCTTAGTAGCCGGTCTCGGAACGACGGCACTTGGGTGATAGGTGGGTTGGCTGGTGTCGAACTGGCGAGCTGGGCATTGGTACGGTACAGATTTCTGGGGGGGTATTTATGGGGGAAGGGTGATGGTAGATAGAGTCTCGTTGTTGAACTGAGGTATGAAATACTCATATTTTCAGGGGTCTATGCAGGTGTGGTGCCAATACTCGTCATTTGAGATACAATGATGTATTTGAGGTCTTTCTTGATCCTAAATTGTCTTAAGACTCAAGGCACTTACTCCGAGGTACAGTGCCTTTCCGTTATCGATCAACTGGTTCAAATTATGAGATACGGGTTGGAGGCTTTCCACAAGATTTTTGGCAGTACCGGGCCCACGGCATCCGCGCGCAGTCGGCAATGAGACACCTGAGTGGGGTATCTTGGAATGCATAGATCTTGGAACACGGCCAGAGACTCATAGCAGAACAAGTAGGACGGACTGGGGTGATCTGCAACCTGCAACAAAGTATAACTCTTCAACAGACATTTGGAAGACTTCAAGTAGATTACTGTAGCGCTATCATCTAATGGTAGAGAGAATGTTGCCTGTGGACATGAGCTCCAAGCAAACAGATAAGAAGACGGAGTCATCCTCCGAGATACAGATGCATACTAAAAAATGAGACCAACGCAAGCTGTAGTCCATCATCCTGGAGGATTCAGACGAAAGGCATCCACGCGCTCATGAACCCTTTCTATTCTCTCGGCCAAGCTCATGTATGTAAAATAAGATGAAATTTCCCAAAAGAACCCCCACTCCCGACTCAGTTTAAGACTTCCTTATCCCCTTGGAAAAAAAAAAAGCTCCGCGCTGAAGTGGGTTCGAAAGGGTCCCCCACACCGTGCTGAAAACACCAATTTGCGCCCGGTTTTTTTTAACTTGTACCTCCTTCCAAATGCGACACATTTAAGAAAGAAGGCGTATAGAAGAATGTGGATGAAAGAAGTATTGAAGGCGGAAAAGCATGACTGGCTAAATGTTGATTGGAGGAAGATGTATGTAAGGGAAGAAAAAGACCATATTCGTCATTAATTCATCGGGATAAGAAGAAGAACAAGAGGTTTTCTCTATTTAACCACCGATCTGTTCCTGGTGGACTTCAAGGGTGTCTCCATCGGCCATTTCGAGCTGTTGCGGAAGAGGGAGATGTTAGTCGGATGTCTATTTTCTTGTGTATGAGGGTCGAAGCGGTGGGGTGGATGCCATTTTGGAGGGGGGGTGTTTGCAGGTGAGGGGGGCAAGACAACCGCAAACGCTGAGCACCACCGGCGGCGGCGCTAAGGATGATAATGATGAGGGGCAAGAGGGCAGTGTACGTACAGTGTCTGGCGTATCCTCAGGACGCACACGGGTACCATCGAACAGGAAACGGACGGTCGAAGGCTGTTTACCCTGACGCTCGCAGAACGCATCCATCAACTTCTTCAGCTGGGTTGACCGCTTGATCTTGAAGAAGACCTCGTTGTTGTTGTCGGTGACTTTGATGTTCAGGTGCTCGGCGGGAGCCGGGGCATCACCGCCGGCGGGCGAGGCGTTCGCGTCGGCCATCTTGTTTGTGGATTGGTTGTGATCTGTAGGTGGCAAGGTAGAGAGTCAGCGCTGCAGAGGGGGTCCTGTCGCATTTGACTGTGGATTGCTCCGGGGTTGAAAGATGGGACAACGAGGAGAGACAAGTGTAGGAGGAAGGGTTTCTTACTTCTTGTGATTGATGAGTTTTCTGTAGAGAGATGAGGGTGACGGGGAGAAGTCAGGATCAAGATCGTTGGAGAAGTGAGAAAGTGACAGAGGGAGGAGGGAGCGCTGAAGTGGAGAGAAATAGATCGGGGTCAATAGGTTGGCGGCGATGGCAGAAGCAACCCTCTTCCCTCCCCCACCGGTGATGACTGACGGAGAATCTATTTTTGCGGCGCAGGTCCAATCGGCCGCAGTAACACCTTGGAGGCTTAACTATAGGCTGCTTGCTGCTTGACTGTACAATAACTACCAGGCTGGCGCAGTGAATGACATCGCTTTCCTCTTCACTCCTTCACCCAACCGTCGCTTTTTCTTTATCTCTGCTTTGTTGCTTTGTGTATGATTAGTTGCAATTGCCTCAGTCTCTCCTGCTCTGTCCGGTTGTAAATTCCAGCCTGCATTTGCATTTTACTGCTACTCAATAACTAGTTATATATGATTGCGTCATGGTAAGCAAGACCGCATTGCTCCGTTGGACATCTCTCGTCTCTCAGCCTTGAACATAATCGATTGACATTTGACCAGGGCGGACTAAAAGAGGATCTAGCATATGACCCCCCCTGCCATCCACGAGCAGTAAGTTTGTCTTTCAGCATCATGTGAGAAACATATCCGTTGACACCCTGCAGTGTGCCATTCAAGGTGACTTCACCTGAGCCCTGATCCCAGCGACAACATCACTGACTGAGCCCTGACAGCTTGTCTGACCAAGAACTCATACCAGGAAGAGAAGTGCCAGTCGCAAATCAATGCCCTCTACGAATGCTGCAATTCGTTCTACAAGGAGCAAGGCGAAGAAGCGAAAACCCCGAGCTGTCCCAAGCCCAGTCTTCTGCGACTGAGGATGAAGCAACGAGGCCAGGAATCCTAGCTTGAACGCGAGCTCCTAACGGTTGCTTTGTGTTGCTGTGTAGATAGATATGTATATATTACCACACCGAGTGTTGCAGATATCGAAACACGAGGCCAAAGACCATTGACCCAGATACTACAGTAGAGTTGTGCGAAGAATCCGGGTCGAAATTCGAAAGCTGAATGTAGCAATTCCTTTGCAGTCTGAGCTCTCATATAAGTGAAGAGCTAGGCTAGTTGTAAGAACTGCAACTCCCTCTAAGACAATCGTGAGCACGCAAAGAGGCCGATTGACCTGGACGAATATTGAAAACTCTCGCCCCGAGACTCTAATGACTGCCTATATGACATTTGTTGAAGAAAAAAAGAAAAAGAAGAAGGGAAGGAAAAAAATCCACGATATTTCAATGCGCGGATGTGGCCGCGCTAGACCTGGTTGGGCCTAGTGGCTGAACGGCCCCAAAACACGGCCAAGCCGAAGCAAGAGAAGGAAAGAAGGTGCAGGTTCACTGAAGTTCCAGTTCTTCCTTAAACCCTGCCTGGGTGCTTAACGCCTATCCCGCGCCATTCCTCTCCCCCCCATCTCTCCTCCCCCATCACGTCTTTTAATCCAGGGTCGCATCGAGCGCTACTTTCCAATTCCTTCTGTTGCGCTCATGGCTCCCCTGACTACGGTGGCTGGCCCGGGCGCCCCGGCCGGCTTTACCTCCATCAATGTAAGTGTTCCCTGCGATTCTGTTGACACGGTCGTCCAGCCGGTGCGCTGACGTTGCGTCCAATATTCAGCACCAGCAACAAGCGCCAAACAATACCGATGTCATCGAGATTGATGATAGTGATGACGAGCCCATGGAGGAGGCAGAGGATATCGAAACTAATGACGACGAAGGGGATATGGAAGATGAGGAAGATGAGGAGGAGGAGGACGAAGAGGATGAAGAGGAAGAGGAAGACGACTACGGCGACGAAGAGGACAGCCCAGACAACGACTCCGCTGAGGATTCGAATCGCAGTGAATCGCCCCTGGACCTGAGTCCCCCTCCCACCGAACAAAGTACGACGGATACAACCTCTCATGACGGGAAAGTTGCTAATCGTATGCTAGATGGGTTGGCCGCTGCCGCTACCCCGGACCTCTTCACTTCAGCAGGCGCACAAGAAGCTCTACACCCTCTTCGTCGCACGGCGGACCGCGTGACGCGTCAGATCGAAGCCTTCGCCGAGAAGTTGGATCGTTTCAAACAGCATGGGAACCGGTCTGGTGAGCTCGAGGACTACAAAGCTGCCTACCAGCTGGTGAGAAGCTACCAAGAGCTGGCGCGTGGCACGATCCAGGATATACAGAAAGACCATACTTTGAAACGCGCGAAGCTGGGATTTGGCGCCAACCGGGCCAATGGGCCAATGGACGCCAAGGCACAAGAAGAAGTCCAACGACTGCAGCTCGAGGAAAGCACATGGCAGCTTTTCTGCAACCTCATCACTATCGCCAACCCTCACCGCATAGCCAAATCCGAAGAGAGACAAGCAACTGCTTTCCAGAACTTGCACCGCTACTCAACTGACCGCGAAGTTTGGGAGCAATTCCTCGATTCGGACGCCTACGCGGTGGAATGTGTAGTGATCCTGAAATGGCTCGAGTACACCGCCAAAAACTCGCAGGATATTGACGATCTCATTTCGGAACTGGAGACACAAGCTCAGCGGGGTCAGGGCTCTTGGTCCTTCGGCTGGCTCTATACAAAGGAGACGATCAAGGGACACAAACGACTGCGAGCCTGGCCTCAGCCACTTGAGCCTAACGACCCCGGAATCACCGCCTCTTTGCTCAAGTCAGAAGACGCCGAACCCTTGGTTACTCAGTTGGATCCCGATGCGATCACGAGACAGAAGCAGAATCTCCAGAAACAGGATCAATACTACGAGCGCGCTACCTGGATGACACTCTGGAAGATGCTCAGACAGGGTGAGAGTTGGTCAAAGATCCGGGAGTGGTCTGCGGAGAGGCTGGAGCCCTGGAGAGCGGTCAGTATCTGCGGTTCCAGTGTTGACGTAGAGACTCACAAAGGACGCACACCCGTTGACGATGGACACACGCGCTTGATGAATTGGCGGTCCCAGGAGACTTGGAGTGCTGCTTGCATTGCTCTAGCGCGGAACCCAAAGATTGAAGACTATGAGCGGGCTGTTTTCTCGTTACTTTGTGGCGAGACTGAGGCCGCTTTCAAGATCTGTCAAAGCTGGGATGACTTCCTCTACGTCTATTTCAACCGTGCCGTACTCTCCCGTTACCAAGGCTTCTGCAAACAGCTCCAGCGGAAGCTAAGTCACTCGCCCACTGCGCAAGTGCCCTACGTTGCGGAGCCGGCAGGTCACGATGAAGTGAAGAAGTTCATAGAGTTCACCCGGGATCACGACCGCGTCGGCTTTGAGGCGCGCAACCCATACCGCACCATCCAGGCAGCCATACTGTCTCGAGGGTATGACAAGTTCTTCTTGTCACTGGCCCACGCCGTCTCTCAGGTTGCGAACAATCCATCGGACGGGTCATCTCTGGTTCCTGAGATGCTACATATGTCGGTGCAGGATAGTCTCCTCATTACTGCGACGGACCGCGACGCCTTACGAATTGCAACTCACTTACTCATTGTTACCCGACGTCTCGGAATGGTACGGTCGGATACCACGTTCTTTGACCATACGTCTGTCAACATCATCGGGTATATTGCCAACCTGGAGGACGCTGGTCTCGTTGATCTTATCCCTCTATATGACTCTCTCCTGCCCACTCATTATAAGCGTATCATTCTGGCGCGCGTCATGATTGAGGTTGTTGACCCAAGAGAACGGAGGCTCCTCGTCCAACTCATGGAAAAACATGGACTTGACGTTGAAGAAATCTTGGAGACCCAGTGGGAGTATATCAGCCACAGGACTTCCGCCATCGACCATTCAAGGACAATGAAGTTTACCTCCAAGGTTGTAACACGGAAGGATGGCGACCGCGAATTGGTTATCCCAAGGCACGATCTCATTGGAACAGAGATCTCCGACGTAGATGAACGAGTGATTCGAAGCCTGGAGTGGCTTCGTTTTGTTGACGGACAATGGGGCAAGATCTGTCAGCTGGGATCCCAGGTGTACCAGAGATACTACAGTACGTCCGTTGTCTCAATATTTCGTCCACCATGCTAACAAAATCGCAGGAACCGGAAACCTGGCCGCTGCGAGAGAGCTGAGCAGACGCATGAACCTTTCCGACATCTCCCGAGAGTCCTTTGGGTTCGATTTGGCGATAATACTCAAACGCGCTATGTACCCCGAACGGGACTTCTCTGCCTCAGAGCCCTCCAGTCCGATCAAAAGCATACTGTTCACTTCTCCTCACAAACGGAGCCGCTCCAAGACAAACGGCAACCCAGTTGCGGGTGACACAGGCCTCCTGCTGCAACAATCCCAAACTATGCGTGATTTGGAAACCTTGATCATGGCGTTCGACGGCCTCGAGAAGTTTTCGCTTGCTTTGGAGAATTTCGAAACGTAAGTCCCGGCGCTTGTTCGTCATGCAAAAGAAGCAATGCTCACTAGACAATAGGGCTAGGCAAAACCGGGACTCTGGCACTATCAAAGATCTTCGAGAGAAAGTCCAGGCTGCATTAGCCGAAGCCAGTGACCCTGTCGACTGGATGCTCAGGGATTGGCTAGTCGGTGCTGAGACGGGTAAGCATCAGCCCTCGCCTATGAATGAGAGATCATGCCCGACTAATTTACTAAACCCCTCAGAATCCGAGCAAGCAGAGTTGGAAGAAATTCGAAACATGTACATTCCTGAGGTATTCCTCAACTACCACAATGCGCTCTTCTTCTCGGCTCGAGTCCTCAACAGCGAGATCCTCGTGCAGTGCATGAACCTCGCGATCCAGGTCTCGGAGAACAGGCTACTGACGCAGACCTTTGTGGCCTCGCGTCGTATGCAAGAGCTGGTGGTTGCGCTGGCGCTGTCTAGTAAAGCCATGGTGAACACCCGAGCCAAGCCCGGGGTGAAGGTACCGGGAGGCGAATCGTTGGGGCTTTGGAACGTGGAGACGGTTGAGGGAGAGGAGCTCGACGACGGCATGGCGCAGTGAACTACACCCGGGCTCAGACGTGTACTTACTGTTGTAATATGACACAAGAGATTCACGACGGATCGGCATGATGCATGTATGTACATTAGCCTTCTCTTTGCTTTTATTTTCCCATTTACGCCCTGTCTGTCTCGGTCGTCGTTTGTATGTTTCTGCGATTGATACGCAGTACTTTGTTTGCATGTATGCTGGATTAGACTGGGGCTTTGAAAGGCGGTCTAGGGAACTCATTATCAGGCGTCTTTGACTAGGGACTTCAATGCAATACGGGCCTTTGCGTGGATGGAAATGGGATCCATCACATACATACAGAACACCTCTCTTGTCTCAATTACTGATTCACATCCCGTATCGTAGTGGCGCATAATTGAGGGTCCAAGAGTACACATAGTCTAACCAGCCAGCCGCACCGCAGATTCAGAAACACCCCACAGCCCAGCTAGCACTAGTCACTGGTCGGCTCGACCAACCCGTCGGAAATCCGAGATATGGGAGCTGAATTACACATACTTTGGGGGTTTATGTGTTACCGTTATATGCAGGTGCGGGTAATTGTGGCAGTGAAAGCGCGGACACAAGCCCGGGAGAGGGATTTAGGGTGGCATTAGTTTAGTTGGACTTAGCTTGGGTGATTTAACTTTTCGATAATTATGAGGATTATCATTTGTTGGATGGATTGATAGCTCCTCCTCCTGTCGTCCATGGCTATTCAGTTATTTTTGCGGTGAGGAATCAGGATTCTTGTCTTGTGATAAGATTTTTTGGGGGGAGATTACTTGTGTCATAGAGAAGGTATACGTATACTCCGGATGTGTCATGGATGTAGTTATGGGCTGTGTGGAAGATCGCGAATTCCTTGCTTTTTTTGTTATCATGGGGAAGATATCCAAGGCTATCAAGGCAAAAGGACTCAGCCAATATTATGATCCTATCTGAATGGGGGCAAGTCCACTGAAGAGGAGCTGAGAGACGGATCCGATGGTTCCCACCCACGCGCAA